AGTAGTAGTAGTAGTACTAGTAGTCAGTAGTAGTAGTAGTAGTAGCAGCAGCAGTTTTGGTCGCAGTGTTGGTGTTGGTGGTGGTGGTGGTGGCGGTGGCGGTAGGAGGCGCAGCAGCAGCAGAAGCAGCAGCAGCAGCATCAGGAGTAGTAATAGTAGTAGCAGTAGTAGTGGTAGTAGTAGTCGTCGTCTTAGTAGTCGCAGTGGCAGTAGCAGTAGCAGTAGCATCAGCAGTAGCAGTAGCAGTGGAAGTGGCAGTGGTAGTGACAGTGGGAGGAGTGATTACTGAGTATGAGGAGGAGGAGGAGTAGTACTAGTAGTAGTAGAAGAAGTAGTAGTAGGAGGAGTAGGAGTAGTAATAGTAGTAAGACGAGTACTGCTATTAGTCCTACCACTACCTTTTGCTTGCTGTTTGTATTGCCAGCGGTTCTTCTCCCCAGACTTGATGTAGTATGTTATTAGCAAAGGCCGGGTAAGATAATTCTCAAGTTTTCTTTGGCTGTCGTGCTGGTGCTAATACCGTATTGGTGCAGGAGCGCACCGGCATGCTGTTCTTCTCTTTTACTTTGGAGGGACGGGGTTGTGCGCAGGAAGCAAGTGGGCATCCTTTTGATTGGTCTCCTGCTGCTCCTTCCGATGAGTGATCTCACAATGTTCACCACCATGAAGGCCAACGCTACGAATTTCACACCTCTGACGAGCAGCGAGCTCGCATCGATGATAAAGAGCCACCTGAACCTATGCAAGGGCGCCGGAGCGTACCAAGATGCTCTTGAAGAGCTGCTGGCCACTACGGCACATACGACCCATAAGAATTGGCCGGAGACAGCCGAAGCCTCGCAGCAACTTGCCGACATTATCGCCGGTCCAGATGATTCAGTCTTCCAGGAGGTCTTCAAGCGCGTCCTTACTGGAGGAGGTTGGAAGAATGCTGTAGCAGCTGCAGCTTCCCGGAAAGGCGATTCCAAACCGTGGGCGGTGCTGGTCACCGGGCTGAATGGCATTCGCAAGACATCCTCGCTCTACGAGCCCTGGTTTCCGGCAGTCCTTGCTGAGGCCATTGGCATTGACAGCAACGACCCGAGCATTGCAGACCTGCCTTGTGGTGCCAACAGCTTCTTCAGGCAGCTGGACTTCATCGTCGCAACCTTGGCGAACGAAGACTTCCGCAAGCTCTACACCATCACAAACGTGGACGAGTACGCGGCCGCGAAGGAGGCGATCTTCGCTCGTTACCGAAAGGTCTCCGAGATGGTCGGTCTTCTTCTTGTGAGTGAGGCCAGGAAGAAGAAGGTTAATGTAATGGCTGAAACAAGTGGCCGCGACCTTGCCATGTATGAATATATAGACTTTGCATTTCCGGATGAATACAACAAGTTGGTCATCCACTTTGAGATCAACGATGTTAACTTTGCAGAGCAGTCCGTCGCAGTTCGGATGCAGGGCGAGATGGCGGCCGGAGCCAGTGCCCTTGCACAGCTGGAAGCTGCGGACACCCCAGCGAGCCGGCCCAGAGGTGCTTCGAGGTGTGCAAGCGGCAAGCAACAAGGTTTTCGAAGAGGTTTGGGGCGCCGATGGGAAGGGTGGCCGTCCAGGCTGGCAAATGGCGCGTATCCAGGTCACTGCCCGCAAGGATGGTGACTGGACCGTCAAAGCACATGGCAGCGCGACTGAGCATGCTTTCTCCCCGCGCCCTTGATGGCCGAAGCCAAAAGAGAAGCAGTCCAGCGGTACATCTTTCCACGACCATTCTTATCGATGTCGTTTTCGCCACTGCTAAATAGGTTCTGACAGTATTCTCCTCCGGCGGTTAGAAGCTTATCTTTTCCTACGACATCGACGATGCTGCTGCTGCTGCTGCTGCTGCTGCCATACTCGTCATACTACTATTTCTACTACTGCTGCTGCTGCTGCTACTACTACTACTACTACGACGACCACGACTACGACTACGACCACGACTACGACTACGACTACGACTACGACGACGACGACTACGACTACGACTACGACTACAACATACTACAACTACGACTACGACTACGACTACGACTACGACGACGACGACTACGACTACGACTACGACTACGACTACGACTACGACTACGACTACGACTACGACTACGACTGCGACTACTGCTGCTGCTGCTACTGCTGCTACTGCTGCTGCTGCTGCTACTACTACTGCTGCTGCTGCTGCTGCTGCTGCCTACGTCCTCCCGAGTCCGCCACGGCACTGTTTGGAATAAGATGTGATGCTAAGACGGTGGACGCTGGCCTGTCCCGCAAGGCTTGGAGCAGGGCGGTCACAGACTTGGACTCGCCTTCTGTAGACCTTGCAAACTTCACTGGAATAAACTGATGGTACGATCGGATCGTCGACCCCCACCACCACAACCACAGCCACCATCATCGCCATCACGTCATCATCGACACCAGCAGCAGCATGTTGCCACCTTCGTTTCGTCATTGCCATGCTGTGTAGATGGCCTTCTTAAGCTTCGATCTTTGAGTGCTTATCATGGACATCACAGGTTTCTCATGTTCATGTGGATTCCTATCACCTGGCAACTATTGCCATCAAGAAACTACTCGTGCGACTAGTACACGACGACTACTGCGCCACTGTGCAACTCCCACTGTGAGCGTTGGAGCCATTAGCTGCAGCTGCTGTGCCATGTCTTAGTATTGCGAATGTCACCAGCTGACGTCGTCATATTCACTGCAATACTCATGTTACTTGGCAAGATTTGTGTTGAGCTTCCCGTTCTGTTCTGGCTGTCATCGAAACTCCGCGGGTGCGTGGAGAGAGCCAGTTGGGTACGACAGAACGCGAGCAGTCGGAACTCATAAGAGCTCGGCACTGCCCTCTCGATGATGGCGAGGAAGTGCGTCACGTTGATCTTGTTCCGCTCCAACTCTCGCCTTGTCTGCACGGAGAGGGAACAGGCTTTAGGGCCTTTAGGGCCTTTAGGGTTCAGCTGTGAATTCGGATGAGCCAGGCCATGCTCGGGTCCAGGCTCCAATAGCTGGCAGCGCTTCTGCAGGCGCTCCGAGCCATCCTTCAATCTGTTTCTTGATTCAGTTTCTTTAGATCTCCACTGCGATCACGTCACTACCGGTCGCTACCGTTTCCGTGACATGCGTTCGTCTCGAATCACGGGCAGCTGTGCACAACTACTGACTTGTAGGCCTTCCCAGGTGCCGGTTAAGACCCTGCTGTAGAAAGCGCAAGTTCAGCCACTGAGAGCTCCGCTAGGCCATCAGTGCCACCACGTGAAGCTGGCCTGCCACGGAGAACTGCTCGCAGGGTTCCCGGGTGCCCTGAAACTCTGCAGCCGCCACGCCCAAGGGCCACCGATGCATTAATGCCATCTCCCAGTGCCTGGAACTCAAACGAGAGACTCGACTACCACGGAGCTCACTTCCTGCAGGGGTGCTGAAAGAAAAAACTGGGCGTTCGGTTTCGCGGTTTTGGCATTTCTCAGCAACAGATTGCTGGTTTGGACTTCGTAAGGGGCTTTCTGGTACGATGGCCGATACAGGCGACCGACATAGGCATGGAGAAGCTTAAAGCTGGACGGATCCTACCGTCAATCAACTCCTGAATGGCCAGCCACTGCTTGCACGATGCCCTGGCTGCTGTTCCTCGCCTGCTCTACACACCAGGCTGGATAGAGTCAAAAAAAGAAGGCAGCAAGCAAGCAAGCAAACCCTGCTTCAGGAATCTGCATAAGAAGCTTCTGCGCAATCAGTTGAGACCCCGAGAGCCCCCTTTCTTCTGAAGGGGCGGCTGCAAGGGACACCCCTTGATGGCTTCGAGCCTCCAGCTGCAGGATGCGCTGCTTGAGTCGGAAGTTCCTTTGCTGCTGGCGGAATCTCCGTAGAGGACGCAAGGGAGCCCTCCAGATGCAGGCAAAGCCACTCCTCCCGATAGCTGTCCCTGTCGTCCTTCAGTCGCAAGCACTTCCTTTGCACTGCGTTGCCTACTGCAATCGGCTTTCACTTGCTCCGCCTTCAGCTGCAGGGTGTGTCGGATCTTCTGCCGATGGTTCGCATGCCCTGCCAACTCCGCGTGCGAGGAGGACACTTCCTCCAGGCTCTCCTGGCCGGCCAAGGCCAAAGGCCAAAGCGGGGCTGAGCCTACGCTTCCCTTCTTGCTTCCCGTTCACTGCATCTTGTCGAAAAAACACACGTAGCCCGAGTTGGCCTCAGGACTGGGAATGCGAAGGACTAAACTAAAGCTTGAGGACGAGAGTAGCCATATCTGGAAAAGAGGCTGGCTTTTGGGCACGCACCCTTGGAGCAGTCTGAGATCAGCAAGTCCCTGCAGCTACGATGCTGAGTTCCCGTGGCAAACTGTTCCGTCAAGCGGCACCCACAAGTCCTGGAGAGATTCAACTTTGCTTGCCAGGCTCTTCCTTTCCACCTGTGCCGCGCAAAGCATGCGTGGCCGAATGGTGCAACACTCCTGCAACCTGCTTTCTGCTACGGCTGGGGTTATGTTCGTGCATATGTCTCCACAACCGAGCGAGGTATCAAAGGTTTGGGCCCAGCAGCGAAGTCTGCAATTGTGAACGCTTCTGCATACTCCAAGCAAGATTCCCCCAAAGAGATAGCCTGTAGCTGTCTCTAGCTGTCAGCCCTCAGGTCGCGGGAAGCCGCACTCGGAGGGGTGCGAAATCCAAAACATAATCTGCACCCGTTCCCCGTAGACGTGTGGGCAGGGGCAAACCTCCAGACCGTCACACTGGTTCTTGAGGGCCGTGATGGTCAGAGCCAGCTCCTCTCGCCCGAGACAAAGGTTCAGGTCTCAGGGCCGTGGCGACGCAGGCGAGCAGGGCTGAAACTTCCACAGCCCCACACTCACTGTAAAGATGTCGAGAAAAAAGAAGACATCACCCAAGCTACAAGACAATGTCTTGATTCCGGCAGGACATGGCCCAAGGCTAGATTGAGATGCTTGCCGGCGAAGCTTGTGTCCTGGCTCTCAGTCAGCATCGCCGTGCAGGTCTCGCAACCTTGACAAGGGACTCCAGACAAGGCTTCGACAGTTTCGCCTCCGAGAATGTCATGAATATCAGGGCAAGGCCTTGCATGCTGCGGCCCAGCTGGTCCACCTGCTTCTCCAGTCCCTGCCATGAGTTTCGCATTCTGGGATCGCCGAGATCGCCAAGATCCGGGCCTCTGCATGGCGTCGCCAGCGTTCGCAGTCTTTCTGGAGCCCCTCGCGGACCTCTCCGTCTCTATTGGGTGGAGGGGGCTGGATCACAACCTCGCCGACACGAGGCAGAAGTCAGAAGTGCAAAAGACTTCCAAAAAAAGAGCTCTCCATGGAAAATGCCACCAAACCCTAAACCCTAAACCCTTAAGTAGTTTCTTTTTGGGGTTACCCTAAAGGATCCTAAATATGAACCACTAGTCAAAACAAGCCCTGCGGGCGGCCTCGCGGCCGCAGCTCCGCCGAACCTCCGCAGCAGCTCGGGCATCCGCCAGCTCGGTGCGGAGAGTCGACAGCTCCTATCGCAATTGTCTGCCTTTCTTTTGTCTGATTTTCTCCGAATGTGTTCGTGCGCGAGCATGTGTACGTATCACTATGCTTCATGATTAAACATAAAAGATGATTGATTTGGCCTGGCGCATGGCACCGATTCGCGTCGAAGGGCCGAACTGCAAGGCTTTGAGTTTCCCGGCATGTATTATATCGCTCGATTCCCTCGTTTCGGGCACAGAGCTGCCGTCAAATCTAATTAACAGTTTGGAGCGTATACCGCCTAGTATGCAATGATGCTTTGCAGGAGCGGAGCAATAATCTAGGCAGCAGGAGCAGGCAGGGCATG